CATTCCCCGAAAATAGCACCAAACATTATGCACTCATCTAGCATGTTTAGCCGCCCACCTCTGTGCAAAATACGCCCACAAGTTGGACGTTTTGTCAGCAAAATACCCCAAGTTGGAAGCTACTTATGTATAATTATTTCTATGATCTGTCCCTATTATGGCACCGGTATTGCAAATAATCCCAGGGTCCACAAAATAGTGAGCTCGAGCGTAGTTTAGAGATACTTTTTATACAATAATTGGGCGCGTGACGTGTGCGTTTAGTGCAACATAGGGGGCGCTGTAACTGACATTGCTGAGCATTCGCGCGTGATGATGCCCACGTGCGCGTGCTTGGAGATTATGTGTAGAGCAAGCACACGAAAGGTAACTTCATTTTGTCGTGTTAAATAAGGAGACATTTTATTCAAAATGTGTGCCCAGTGTTAATTCAGTGCACGAGAGATTACTGTAGTTAGTTTTAGCATTAGATTAAGATATATTTACTACTTCTGTGACAGGATTTTTCACCTCTAATCTGAACGAGCAAGTTCGAACCGTCATGTGACGTGTGCTTTAACATAGCTGTAATATGCGACCCGCTCTGCCAAAAAAAGTACGGCCTAATATAGCAATAATAAGTCGTGCAATGCCAAAACATGTTATGGCCTGTTCTATGTTGAGAGGGCAACATTTCTCCAAAAATGTGATTTTGTGTTTTTTCTTTTAACACTTATATTTCCAGAATTTGTGACTACAATTCAAGAGCTTTTTCTCAAAAAGTGCTTTTATTGAATCCAAAAATGTGGATATACAAATGTCTATATAATATCCAGAACACAGCACACAAGTACAGGGGTCATTTATGTATCAAATTGTAGTTTTGTGAGGGTTGGTTTGATGGGTTCAGATGGGGGAAGGATGAGGTTTCTTCTTGACTCTGTGCTACATTCTGATTAGTTTAGTCACACTATTTACAGATTATGATTCCACATGACGGGGCATGACCCAAAGCATGCATACAGAAGGACTGAAGCTACTCTAATCTTCCCATAATGCAATGGTCAAATCTAAGGTGAACCTGGAAGGGCATGTAATCACATGGAATGACCCGTTACAGCTTTTGATGTACAGAATCCAAAAATGGCAAAAAAGAATGACACCACAATAGCCTTTGCATGGTTTGATATGTACATGTATGTACAGGTACATGTATATTTCTTGCAAGGTCAGGTTCCCCCGTATGTTAATTTTAAAAAGTTAAGGGTGTGCAACTGCAATTTTCTGTTCATTCAAACTTCTTGGGGTTAAGATACAAAACAATTGCAAATGGGAAAAGCATGTCCAACAAGTTATTGCTAATGCATCATGACGAGTCAGCTGAGTGATTTTTATTCTCTGCCTTCGGGTCAAAGTATTCCTTATGGTCTTTAAAGGCAAACCTAATAATTGCTGAGCAACTCGACATCTCCGAAATTGAGCGACACAGGAAAACCTACTCGACATTTGACCCCCGACGTCGAATATGCATGTGAACAACACTTGTACGGTACATGTACCGTACCCGTACGTACCCCCCACACGTATCATTGGAACACAGATACGCCGCTACGTTCACTTCACAACAAATAGTATGTGCATTGATATTCAGATTCCAGGATAGATGACGCCATTCCTCAAAGGTTGTTACACATACGAGCATGTAAGAACGAGGTTGCAAATGTCACAGACTACGGTGCACATGTTGTCTTTCCGGATGTGTCTGAAACAGCCTTCCAGAGCTACGGCTAGGTCTATTGTCTTTGCATCCGTGTGCATTTCCAATGGAGGAAAGACCTAGACTTACATGTAGCTCTAGACAGAAGATTCGGATGCAGCCCAATCGATTCAGATTCTACTTTTGATCACCACAAACATAAAATGTCATGCTTTAAGCTAAACCGTACTGTTATTCGGTATCAGTGTTTGCTATTTTTACATTGATTTTGTGAGGTCTTGACACGAGACCTTATAAAAGTCGAAACCTGAAACATTCGAGACCAAGACCGAGACCAGGGTATCGAGACCAAGACCACTGCTGGCTGTACTTTGATATTTCGCTAGATACCTCACTAACTTAGAGCAATGTTGTTCAACCTCAATATCTCAAATTTCACAAGTGAAATTTCCTCACAACCTTATAGTAGGCCATAGGCATGATTGATAGGCCTACATCATGTTACTTACAATGCATGGCCTACATGTACATTATGTACGTCATGTACCGTACATGACATAATCTTGAGTTCACACACCTGCCACTTGGCTACTGAGTTCCAAATCCTTTGAAATTACACATATTTTGGCTGATTTACCTTTTTTTTTTGGAAGTGCATAATGAACACTTTGAAAATGTGCCCACAATGAAGAAAGTAGGCCTACTTTTCTGGCCCAAGAAACAACTGGTACATGTATGTATTACTGTTAGGGGTTACTGGAATTTATCAGCTTCGAAGAACTTCTTGCATGTTCATTTTACATGTATGTGGGATTTTCAGAGATTTGTTTCAGTTCGCTATGTTAGGGAACACTCAGCTGAATTTGTGCCAATATCTGGATCGGCTGTCATTAATTTTGGGCTGTTAAATTTCATGACACCTAAATTGTTCACTGAGGTGATCAGTAGCATGTGTTTTGAAGGTTATACTGTCATTATTCAACTGAACAAATTGAAAGTTTTTCAGCAAGAGGTTTGGCAATGATGCATGCGGAAAGTCAAGGAAAGGTCGAAGAGCAGAACATGTACATGTATGTGGAAGACTCGACTATACTAGGGCTAGTTTAGTGGACTGT